GCAACAATCACTGAATCACTACATCGATAAAATTGATGTAAAACTATATACCGATCACATCACGCTTTTCAAAAGTGCAACAATCACTGAATCATGATTCAATGTAAAACATCATTTGTATACTTTTACACCGATTCCAAACACAGCCTATATTTTTTATTAGATTGGGAAGATATAAAAAATAAAATAATCTTTTATTCAATGTTTCATTTTAAAAATTTAAAGGAGAATGATGGGTAAAATAGTCTTTTCCATCTTTTTGTTAACAAATATTAACGGTAAGAGGGTTTAGTCAATTGTCAAAAAACTAAGGGGTACTTTAAGTCAATTTCCAAATAATAGGGGTGAGTAAGTTAATTTCTTAAAACTTTCGGGTAGTTTAAGAAATTTGCCCTTTGTTTTTTCACATTTTTTTATTCCATTTTCATGGTTAATAATAAAAATAATTATGTTTTTGAAATGCATAAAAATGATATTATTAATAGAGATGTGTCCACAAATTTTTACAAAAGATTTGTATTTTTAAACTTTTATATTTAATTATGACATCATGGGTTAACTACTTGATTTGGATGGTTGAATTACTTATCGACTAATAAACAAAAATTTTGTTTTCACCCCAATTTTAAATACATCAATTTTGTATTGTTAAAATTATTAGATCTATATTTAATTAGTAAAATTTATTTGTGAGAAACAAAAAAACTTTAAATGTAGGGTTTATTGAAAAGGAAATTAACACCTTAGATGCAGGATTTAATGAGTCTATGAGAGGGAAATGAATGAAGTGAAAAAGTAGTAATTTAAATTACCTTTTCTACCTGAGTTAGAGAGGGATCAAATTCAAAAGTAGGGATAGAATCAACTTAAAATTAAAGTCGTGGTTCGAATTACATAGGGCTACAAACGGATTTGAATAATTACATGAGATATAGGTAGATCTAAATTAAATTTGATTTGTAGATAATGGAATACTGATTGTAATCAGCTATTGAATAGTATACTTAAATTAAACTAAAAATGATAAAAATATCACATATTATTTATAAAATAAAATAAAAATGGTTTTGATATTATATTTCATGAACAAAATAAATTGAAAATTAGTTGTATGAAACTTGGACTTGTACAATTTAGTAAAAACACAATATTTAAACCAATATTACTAAATAGGCACAATGTACATATTCTTAGAAAGGAATTTGCTGCCCTAGGATTCATTATTTTTCTAGAAAGGATGAAAATAAAATGGAATCATTTAGGGAAAATTCCTAATAGGTACCCTGTACTTTAGGCTGAGTGCCAATTTAGTACCCGAACTTTAAAACGTGACAATCTAGTACTCAAACTTTCGAAATGCGACAATATAGTACCTACCGTTAGTGGACCACCAGTTATGTATATCATGTGACCTCATGTGCGATTTTAGACTTTTGAAAATGTCAAAATTACCCTTGAAAATAAAACACACTGTTCATCATCTTGTTTCTTAAGAAAATGAAAACACTATTCATCATCTTCCTACTCTGCTTATTCCATAGGTGAACAACAAAACTTTCCCTGTGAATGTGCTTGAGCTTTGAAGACAACCATTTCAAATGGGTAGCATCCCGAGGTCCATGAAATAGGCTTTGAACCCTATTCCAATCAACTGGATAAAATGTTGGTAGTGGCAACACATAAAAATTAAAACCAGGTCTTCCACTCACTATTGAAACAACCCATGAAACCAAGTAAGGTCCATTGTGACCCCATTGGTTCCCATTGAAGGTGAGTGCAAATTCCTCGATGAACTTGTTGAGGAGTGGATGCTTTTTGTCAAAGACTATGATAGTGTTGTTCAAGCGACTCCAATTTCCAGTTTTTAGATCGATAGTCTGTGCTCCTATGACATTTCTCAAATTGGAGAAGCTCTTCAAGACTATAACATCATTGTCTATATAAATTCCACCAAATTTGTACATGAGTGTTAGACTAAGTAAATTCGAGAGGTTCTGACCAAGAGAAACTTCCCTAGGATCTACACTCCCCTTCTTAATTAAGTGATTGAACCAAATCTCTATAGACGTATTCTTGAAAATATAGTTGAAATCAAGGGAAATTGCTGTAACCCGGAATCCCTGGTTTAAAAAGACTCTCTATTGAAAACAATTCCCTGTAACCGAACGACTCCAAAGTAGAAATCCAAGTCATGAAAAACTGAACCTTGTAGGAAGAATTCGAATGTGACCCAGGAAAGAACTCATGTACTCTTACAGAAAATTGCCTTGATAGGGCAGTAGGTTGCAGAATCTTAAACATCAATCCATTCTTTCTGTTCCACTCTGAGCCGAAGAAGAGTTCCATGGAAGAATTGAAGACTCTTGTTACTGCAAATGGGTTAAATGTCCCTTCGGTTTAGAAGGTGGGGTTTCCTCCTTGATAGCATACATGAACGAGGAGGATAAGGATGACGAAGAAGATCATTTTCGTGTTGTTTGTCCAATTGCATATTCAGGTGTAAAGCTAGTAGATTCTGCAAAATTTTGTCCGGAAAAGGGACGTGTAGATAGAAAATGTTGGCGCCGTTGTAGGTCAGAGGCACAAATAGGACGAGAGACAATAGGAAGGTAGGGAAGTAGAAGAGCATACCAAAAAGAGAGCTCCTTATCTTCTTCTACAAATGGTAGTAAGGACGAAAAAGAAGAAAAGGACAAGAAGGGTTGACGATTTTAACATCCATAACTGATTCTTCTAGTTTGCTCCCTTTGGGAGCAGCTCCATCCTCTTTCTCTTTATCTTTGGTTTGTTCCTCAAGGGGAGAATAAATGGAAGATGGAAAACCATTTTCATGGAGGACGTGGCAAAAGAAATAAAAAATAACTTCTACTTTTAAATCGAGAAATACAAGATGAAATCTGGTTAAATAAATAAATAAATAAAAGGTAGAAAAGCTTAATGGACCGTTGATGTTACATTTTAAAGAAATTTGACAAAAGCTTAAAATTTCTATCATTGACATTTAGCAGAAGTGTTTTTTGCAATTATTTTTTAATTAAATGCATGGATGGATACTAGAGTGTCACGTTCTTTTCTTGTGGTGGACTTTGCTGATGGTTGATAAAGAAAATTTGATGATATTTGAAGGGCATTTATGTCTTTTCCCATAACACTTAACAACTGGTTAATAATAGATACTAAATTGTCACATTTTGAAAGTTTAAGTATTAGATTGTCGTATTTTAAAGTTCGATAACTAAATTAACACTCAGCCTAAAATACAGGACACCTATCGGGAATTTTCCCAATCATAGCGTTCTCAGTATTAAAGTCAATCCATGGGCAGAACCATATGGCCGTTTTATGCCCAATTATTTGTGGTGGACCATCTCTGCTTAATTCACATGCAAACCATTTATACACTTATTAGAGAGAGTCACATGTCAACAGAACATGAATTAGTAATTAGGGTTGGTACGTCAGGGTCAGACCCCTGGCATCAAACCAGTTAGCATTTTTATGAATGTTAACCAATTAAAGGAATTCTTCATGAATTTCTCCATTTTTTTTACAAAACCCTTAAAACATAATTATGCAAAATTCACGATTTTTTTTTCTATTAATACAATGAATTCGAAAACAATAATCAAGAATTTCAAACTTCTTTTTGTAGATTCAATATTTGAAAAATAGGGATTTTCTATTTTCTTTAAATATTTAGACAGGTTTTTAGCTTTTTTTCTTAATGACAGTTGGGTGGGGACAGACAAGGGGGCATGTGAGGTCCACTTATCTTACTATCCTGCAAATTTGTACCTTTTTAGAGGAGGGAGGCAAAGTGACCATCTCAACTATCAACAATTCATGTGACGGCTCCATACTAATTTGATTATCTTAATTTTCTACTTCGATATTTTGGCTCTATGTTTCTTTTTGTTGAAAACAGTAATTCATACAAACTACTAAAGACTGGGTTTTTGAAAATGATGAGAAGCAAAAGAGAGGTAGTAGGTGGGTTTGAAATGTATCAATGTGATGATTTTGTGGTAAAGGTTATGTTTGGTAGCAATGCAATTTTATATATTTGGATTAATGTAAATGTATGTGAATGCAAATTCTGATTTAATTTTGTTTTGAGTATCTAAATTGTATTGCAACCAAAGTATCAAACAAAATAAGATATAATTTGAAACAAAGTGCGTCTCACACCACCGGCCTCACAGCATATTTTGATCGTATATCAAGAATATCTCCCTTATTTGCATTTATTACTTTTGTGGGAAAATATTCTCAATGCATGGTAGGATGTGAAATAGATCATAATGTCATGATTTTCCATTAATGGAACCCTGTGTTACAACAGTAGTAGTATCGTAACAAAAGTGAAATCAATAAACTTATACTGCAATCAAAAACAAATTTATATTCAATTTGAAAAAGAATAGACATATAAATATATTGAGTGCAAAACAAGATATTTGTAAGCCTCATATTGGCAATGTGGGGTCGGAAGGAGATTACAGATAGAGTGGTGGACCACCACTCACGGAGTCACGGGGTGTTACTGTTTCAAATTCAACTTATATGCTCGCACCTAATTTTATTTTGTAACGTAGTGAGTACCGGGACTGGTTTTAAAAAATGACCTCGAAACGGATGACTCGTTCTAATAATAAAAATTGAAAAAAAATAAAAAATAATAAAAATGATAAAAAACTGTTGAATGGATCGATGGTTGGACTGCCTGAATCAATAAATCATTAATCGATTCAATGGTTCCGATTGCCTAAATGATTTCTAAGTCGAACATCGGTCCGACCGTTCGAATCAACGGCGGTTCGAAACCCATGCGGGGACTCTATCTAGCGACTAGAGTGTGTTTGTGTCTCCCCAACTTCATTTCATATTGAATTTGCATGATCATCTCAAGATGTGATCAGTGTACCTACGGTCCCACAATGAAAGATGATCCCAGCCATCCTTTTGGTATATTATTTCTTTTTTTTCTTATAGAACTAGAATGTTGAGAAAAACATGTCAAAACTGACTTTTATTTCTGAATAGTACAGAATATGAGAACATACTCTAGTCTTAGGGAAAAAAATATATGAGAATATACTATTACAAACCAACATTTCCTTTCTTTTTTTCCTTTTTCATTTTAATTAATTAAGTTTATTTTTAAGGGATTGTGGCAACGGCGGCGATCGGTGAGAACTTACGAACGCGGCGGTGGTGGTCGAAGGCTTCGAGGAATGAATACTACGAGGAGGAGGAGACTGAGGAAGTTCACAAGGAATGAAACTGAAACTGTACGATGGCGGGTAGGGACAAGACCCGGGATGGAACGCCGAGCACTCGCCCACTGATCTCTGGTTCGGCAGGCCGTGAATGCAATTGTTGTTTACGTTAAGCACTCCGTTCTTTATCAGATTTCTACACGTTGGTCCCACTGATGTAAAATAGTTGTCGGACAATGACAAATTGACTAGATTCCTCAATGCGCACACTGCCTCCGGTATCTGCCCGTATAGCTGATTCCCGGCAAGGTTTAGCAATTCCATCTTCTCCAAGCAACCGAACGAGCATGGAATGGGTCCCGTCAAAAGATTGTTCCCTGCGTCGAACACTGTCGCCGATCTCAACAATCCGATCTCGTAAGGGAGGCAACCGGATAACTGGTTGTTTAAAAGAAGCACCTCCACCAAGGTGGCAGAAGCGTTACCAATGCTGCGAGGGATCGGACCCACGAACCTGTTGTTTGCAATGGTGAGGTAGCGAACCGGAGTGCTGCCCAGGTTAGCTGGGAGCGTCTGCATGAAGTTGTTGTTGTTTATGAAGAGAACATCCAGCGGTTGAGTAAATATCTGAGCTGGAACTGTCCCGGTAAAGGAATTGAAACGAATGTCCAAGAAGGAAAGCCCGTCCATACCCAGAACGGCCATCGGAAACTGGCCGGAGAACTTGTTGTTGCTTAGGTCGAGCTCGTACAAGTAGCGGAGTTGGGCGATCTTCGGGGAAATGGCTCCCGCGAAATTATTGGTGTTGGCGTGGAAGATAGCAATATCGGGGAGCTGGTCGACGAAGTCATCGAGAGTGGGTGCCCCAAGTTGGTAGCCATTGAAATCAATACCTGCTAGTGCCCTGAGGCTGTTGTCGTCCGGTGGGTGATCACAGTAGAAGCCGGTGTAATTGCAGATTCTGGGGCCTACCCAGGTATTAGTGATGCCATGGGGATCGGAGGTGATGCTTTTTTTGAATCTATGGATTACCGGGTAAACCACGGCAAGCCTTTCGTTTTCGAATATTAGCGGCTCCGGTTCAGGAGGTGGCGGATAATTTGGAGCTTCTGGAGCCGGGGCACTGCCAATGCCGACGCCGACGCCCACCCCAACCCCAACGCTGACTCCGCCAGCACCTACACTGATGCCAAGAGTTCCTGTACTGGTTTCATAGAATGCTGTGTTTTTGAGTCCCTGCGCATGCAAGAAACAAGGAAGGAGAGTAATAATGAAGATGAAAACTAGAGAATTGGTAAAGAGCGGATGGATACAAGTTTTTGCCGTCATAACTATTCTGGTCTCTTTTGGCTTTGCTTTTCTTGTGTTACCGAAGAAATGAGACCAAACATCACCCAAGACTCCAAGAGCAGAGAAGGGAAGAATCTACAGTCTAGAGAGAGAGAGAGAGTGAGAGAGTGAGAGAGGTGGAGGGAAGAATAAATGGACGGATTATTAAGGAGAGCCAGAAAAACAAGAATACAGAAATGGTGGATACGGTTGTTGTCGTCTACTGTTTCATTTTCAGAAAGGTAGACGTACGTTTTCACAGTGTCGCGATTAGCTCCTGTATGTTCTCTCTCTGCTAGATGTTGCTGGGTTAGCTAGCTAGCGACGGTCTACGGATTGAGTGCTGAGGGGCGTGGATGTTTGGATGCAGAATTAGGTCATGCCGGTGAAACCAACCTGACATGAGGTCCCCCTATAAATTTCAGCCCTGGCTACTTGATGAGACAAAGTCGAGTGGAGGATCTATACAAGATAATGCTGTAGATGTCTGATAGAAGTTCCTTTCCATGGAGGGATTATATTGTTAATCAGTATTCGCCCATGCTGGTTTCTTAATTTTTATTTATAATAATTAATCCTCCGCACAGTTCCACAACAGTCCTCACAATACAATGGGTTTTAGGTTTTGACAATTTTAAGCCACCCTAAGAAGCACCGAATAACAACTATATATTACCGTACTGGACCTGACCTCAGCATAAGGAGTGTTTGACAGTGCCTGGCGGGACAAAGGAGTACTGGACAAGCCTAGCCAGCAGCAGACTTCGTATCTGGGCCGTCAGTTTGCTCCCTAACATGGTCTAGGTCCATGCCAATAGAATTGGAGCCAGTTTGAGATGGGCCTCACCCATTGAGATTAAGTGAACAAGAACAAGCTTGACTTTTGGTTCAAGATCATTTTTAGCTGGAAATGATTCAACGGTGGGGCCTGATCCTCTCAGGTCTCAGGTCTCAGCATGCAATAGCCAACAAGTGCACCAGTGAAATACAGCATACAGCTCCTGTATATATTAGTATTACCAATCCATCGGCATATCCAATTCCGGCGGCCTGGTCTGGATTGGACTGAGATCAGTATCACCATTCACCACGTGCAGATGGGCCGGATTGGGCCGTCGTGTTAACAGGCAACTTTTCCACCCGGTTGTTCTTGTGCGAGAAGAGGGGATTGTAGAGATGCCTCAGGTTCAAACAAATAAGAAAAATAGAAATCATACCGTCATTTTTTGCAAATGAACAGTCCTATCTGCAACCAGACCTGAGGTATTTTCTAAATAAACCCCAAACTAGTTGCATTTTGCATTTCCAACATTTCTTCAAGGTTTAGAAACGAAGAAAGTTTCCTGGTTTCAAATGCATTAGGGTCATCGGGTACAAATACGTATGGTATAAATATAAAGTTTAGGAATATAAAAAATAGTAAACTAAAGCACCAAGTTGTTTGGGAGCACTTAAAAAGAGTGGAAAGTGAGTACTTATTCCTATTTAACAAACAAGTCTAAAATAAGTACTTATTTGAAAATAAGCAACAATTGGGTGGTTTTTTTAAGTGCTTATTAAATAAGCACTTATTTCTTTTTCTTGGGACAATACAATTTGCTCTCATATTGTAGCAGCAACTGCTTCTGTGGACTCCTAGCTTTAGGTGTGTGAAGACCACCGTTTAATCCTTTTTTTTTCATTTTATTTTCTTTGTTTTAATTATTTCTCTAACCTCATTCTTTTTTCTCTTGTTTTTTTTTTCAACTATTCTTTATCTGTATAAAATAATATAATCTATTTAATAATATGTATGTGACACACGGGCCTATACGAGTTGCAAGGGTTAGAATCGTTATTTTAATCAAATGTATCAATTTAATATTAAAAATATCAAATATATGCATTTGTTAGGTTAGGGCTATAATTGTTATTTTTGCAAACATAAGTATATTTATGGGATAAGCAGCTCACCAAATTCACCAAACAATGCAACACAAATAAGTATTTAAAATTAAGTATAAGTGATTTGAGAAAAAACCTCCCAAACACTAATAAATTTTATTCAAATAAATACTTAAAAATAAATGTTTATAGAATGAATACTTATTCAACCAACCATTTATTTGCCAAATATACCCTAACGAAACCTCTGTAAATAGTGCAATATTAATAAATCTAGAAACACCAACATGAAGGATTATCTCCTTCCAAGATAGGAACCAACTCAGAAGCAATTTACTCTTATGTAACCGAACCAAACACCAAACTCTTGTCCATCCGGGGTTATTTATTTATTTATCTATTTGTTGGTTTGTTTGAAGAGAAATTGTCAAAAAAAAAAAAAAAAAAACAAAAGAGATGATCAAAGCTCCTCTCCTGCCACAATGTCATCAGAAGTTTCATGTGCGTTGCACATTCACGTATGCACACTTGATATAGGAAAAATTAATTTATTAGTCCAACGGTAAGTAATGACATATATGAAGTGGGCAATATCGTTGTTTGAACTTTCAAGACAAAGGACCATTCTTCAACTGCTTCATGTAACTGGATGATTCTTTAGTATAAAATAATGAAATTGAATCCTTGACAGCCTATACACTACACTGTATTAGGATATTTCTTTATAGGGAAATTGTCTAAAAACTCATCATGAGTTTTCAGTATTTCTCAAATTCATCACAACTTTTCAAAATATCTAATCATGTCATTAATTTTACATTAAATATATTAATGGGTGTTAATATATTATCATTTTAACCTTCATAAAAAAATATAAAATATATACAAAATAAATTAACAGGTGTTAATATATTACTATTTTAATATTTAAATATGAAAAAAAGGAAAAAGTTCAAAAATTATTTCAAATATAAAATACATAAAAACATAGAAATTACAAAAAATATAAAAAATTATAGAAATTGCGAACAAAATAAAAAAATATTTTCAAATTATAGAAACTATAGAAATTGAAAAACAAAATCAGGAAATAAAAATTATCGAAAAAACACCAAAATTTATAGAAAAACACAGAAATTACAAATAAATAAATAAAATACAGGAAAATTTATAGATTGTAGAAAATACAAAATGTAAAAAAACAGAAATTATAAAAAACATTGAAAATTATAACAAAATACTAAAATTGCAAAAAACAAGAAAATTGAAAACTGAAAACGACCATTTTTCCTCTAACTCGCCATTCAAGGGTAATTTGGTCATTAAAATTGTTATTTATGCTGACATGGACACCTCTGTTAAGAAGCATTAATGGTGAACTAATGGAATGTGAGTTTTGGAAAATAAAAACTTCTGACATGGTGAGTTTTAGACATTGAAAAGTTGTGGTGGGTTTAAGGGAAATATTATAAACTCATAGTTAGTTTTAGAAAATTTCCCTTTACATAATACTGGATGAGGGCTGTGAGAAGGCCGAATTAATTAATCCTGTACCGTATGTCTAAGTGATATGTTGTTTCAGTGGCACAGCGTATTGCGAATGCGAAGCCGATCATTGTTTTTCACCAAGAGCGGGCTAGCTGCAGATTGGTTTCTAAGGGTGTGTTTGGTTTGAAAGAAAAATATTGTAAAAGGAAAAAATGGTAGGCTTTCAAAGCAAACATAGCCTAAAGGAATGCATGATAAATGGTTCAACTTCAACCATGGCGTAGTAGGTAAAGCCACTTTCTATACTTTGTAGATGTGTTGGTGTTGCTATTTTCTAGATACCAAAATAGGGCATCATTTGGCAAGTCTTTCCATGCGATTTGTTAGCTATTTAAAAGTCTAGAAGATCGTGATTTGCTAGATCTAGTCTAATCACCGAAAGATCGCGTTCCGAAAAGACACGAGAAGCACATTTTGGGATGATTTCAGAAAGCACCAAACCTAGCTTCTCGGCTTTTAGGCCATCTCAAGGCTTCCTCATATGTGTGCCAATGCCCACATGTGACCGAAAATGAGCAGTATCTCTCAATGTTTTTCCCCAACCATTGAGTCTCATTTCTCACATCGGCGCAAACACTCACTCCTCACTTCAGCGCATGATATCTCTAGTGTAAGGAGTGGGCAGGCTGTATGTTATTCCAAGTCTTAAAAGTTGACAAAGGACATGTCTAGAATAGACATTATCATGTTCATCACTTAGCACTCTCTTAAGGGTAGTAAGTGTACTAGGATAACATGGTTCTTGTCAATCCTAAGCAGATTGCAAGGTCATCATTGTTGCACCTCCAAGTCTTTGATAATACTTGTAGCTGAACGCAGCATCAACACCAAATGTTGTGCTCAGATACAAGGAAAAAAAAGACATACAAAATATGAAATAAGAAAAACAAGTTCTACAAGCAAAATTAAATTTAGACTCAAGCAAAGTAAAAGTTTTTTATAGAAATATATAAGATGAAGATTTTCTTGAAAAATAAAAGAAAAATACCACCGGCCATAGTGGACCATGCAATATCCAGACAATTAGGTATCAAGATTCAAGGCTAACATCCACCTAAGTATTCCTAAAATTATGGTATTTTTGCTTGGAAAAAGTTAACCTTATTTGTGAAAATATAGCACAAGTACAAAAACTAGCCTTCGCACATCAGAACATGATAACCAAAAAAATGAAAAACAACTCTTGTTGGTAATGACTATGGGGTGTTTTATTCCTCATTATACAATAAAAAAACAACTTCATTTGGATTTTTTTTACTTTGTGCAGAACTGTGTTGGTGCTATAGATGGTACACGTGTCCATGTATGTGTTCCAACTAGTGAGTAAGTGTCATTTAAACGATGAAGGTTAATCACCACCCAAAATGTAAGGTGTGTATGCTCATTTGACATGTTTACTTTCATTTATGCAGGATGGGTGGGTGTTGCATATGATTCGAAGGTATTTTTTGAGATAATCCAAAATCTAGAGAATATATTCCCTCTGCCACAGGAAGGTCAACAAAACTATCAAATAATTTTGAAATATTTATATCATCAATGCACTAACAAATGTGATTGCAATTTTATATAGGAAAGTATTATGTTGTTGACTTAGGTTACACGAATATGCCTGGATTTCTATCCATATACCATTCAAAGAGGTACAACCTGAGAGACTTTTAAGAGATAGGTGGTTGCCCAAATAATGTTGAAGAGTATTTTAATTATGTGCATTCTTCATTGAGGAATGTCATAAAGTGTTGTTTTGGAGTTCTGAAAGAATGATTCTTAATTCTGAAGTTAATGCCTCCATACCAAATTCACAAGAAAATTAAGATTATGTTTGCTTGTTGTGTATTGCACAATTAATTTCATCCAAATGTTGTGGTTACATTATGTGTATTGGAATTGATTCCTACAAGAGGATGTTTCCATTGAAGGAGAGGGAGTGATGTTCCATGGTGTAGCACAATTCTAATTGAAGTAGGTTCACAACCCACTAGACAAATGAAGCAAGTCAGGGATGAAATCATGTTCAAGATGGCTGAACACTCTAATCTAAGTATTAATCGTAAC